TAATCTATTAATAATATTTCCTGTAATTGTATATAGTGATCTCCTGTTTCTGCTATTGCTGTATTGCCTGCTTCCTCTACTTCCTTCACAATTTGTCCATGTCAGGGCTCTGTTCTGCTGTTGTATTAGCCAGAATATCTACTTCAAACCTACATTTGAACTAACATTTTAATACTTGTTTACATCATACTATTACCACTGCTTTAAATGAGGAGTGACATTGCTGATCCCTTTTTATAGTAGCATCTTAAAGCCCTTTTCACAATGACCACCACAGAAACAGTCTACACTTCTCCCTGAGTAGAAGTGAGCCTTGACCTGAGTCATAGCTCTCTTTGAGAGGCTCACCTATTCGGGGATGGTGACCCTCAGATGTGAATTAAGGTCTATATTTATCACCAGCAGCCCCTTCTCCACAAAGTCTTGGCACATGATATCATAGTGTGGATTACATCTCTAGTGATGAGTGCAGCTAGTTCATTATGTCAAATGATACAATAGCAGAAGCCAAACAGAAAAATTTGAGGCAAAACATTGAGATATAACCCTTGTTTTATGCCCTGCATTCTTACCTTGGAAGTAAGTGTTGATAAACTTCTTTTTTACATTAGCTAAGGGTACATTTATGGTTGAACAAAATACTCTAGTTAAATAAGAGCCTGGGAATAGGAAAGAGCAGAACTGGTTCTTTTGGACATGCTGTTCATTCATCCCGTCTTTACAAGTTCAGTTAACTCTATCCTGAGTTCAGTTGCCTGCATTGCTAGCCTTTTAAGAGGAATGATATTATATGATATGATCACCTGCAGGCAACAGAGGATTAAAAACAGTTCAGGAAGTTCCTTCTAGTCCCAGCTCATACTTCTTTCTTGCTTTGGAAGATCCTTTATATACACATGTAAATACAGAAATACATGTATATTCCTATTTTCTATTATTTTTTAAATTCTGTCCTAGATACACAGCTTCAACATATTAATATATACATTTAATTATCCAATGATGTACAAAAAAGCTGTAAATTCATCAAATCCATCATCCAGAAATGTATTTGCCTGGCGAACAGTTTGATTATACATATATATCTATATACATTAAAAAAAAAACTGTGGAAATGCTTATTCCTAGTGTCACTCAGTGTTATCACTTAAGCCAGCGTCTCCCTTCTTCACTAATAAATGTTCCAGCTGATGTAATTAACTTGCTGCCTGTATGTCAATCATTTATCTGCTACACATTAAATTTAAAAGTAGCTGCACTCGCAGGCCCCCAGCTTTACGTCAGCGAATACCACTGTTGTTCCCCAGCTGTTTTTGTGACTGCAGTTTGCCCTCTGAACAATCTGAAAAATCCCTGGAACGTGCAGTGTAACCAGTGATAACTATTATGTCAGGAGAAACTTTAACTACAAGAGCTGTTCGCTCTATCATTGCGGAGATTGTTTAAGATTTATTTATGCTCCGCAATAGTGAATGAAGCAGAAGTCCCATACATTCCCTAATTATTATTAAGGAATATTCTGGAAGTGATCAATCTGTACGTCACATTTTTTCCAGGCCCCACAAATTACACTGTTAAGCAAAGTCTTCACAGGAAATCAGCTGCAGCTCAGAGAAATAGCAGAAAAAAAATAAAATTCTTGTAGCAAGGGACAGCAATGGCATAACCGCATGTCCCTTCTTTTTGTGGGTACCTTTGTCTTGAAGAAATACACATTCTTCTGTGGGATTTCTTTTTCATTCGTGAGAACTGTGTTCATAGCACTTGATGATTCCATCCTATTGCCCTCCTTTTCCTCAGTCAGCAACATTGGAGCCAACCATGGATTAGGATATTATTAACGCAGATGTCACATCCAAGGAAATCTTTTACGTATGTGCAGGGCCTCGATAACTCCTACTACGAAAGCTGAAAGCTAGGCATGAAATGCTTGTGCCACAGAGGTCCAAAGGAATTTTTGTCATTGACTTCAAGAGAGATTGGATTCCACCCGGGCCAATTACGTGTGACTGACTCTATGTGCTCATTAGTGGAAAATGTTGGCCAGGGTATATTGACAGTATTTAATAACACAGGTGAAACACACCAAGATGAACTTCTCTTTCCACTGACTTCACAAAGGGAATAAATACGCTAAAAGTAATTAACGCTAGGGTAGTATTATAAATGTTATTGTTGTGTCTCCCAGTTACCTAGTAACAGACTTTGTATTTTAATTTTGTTAGCAAGCTTACTGCACGTATTTTAAGTGAAAATCCAGGAGGGACATTTTTTACATCTGTTAATGTACGAGTAAAAGAGCAATATAACTGCAAACATTACCAAAAACTGCTGGCATATTTATCATTTATTTCAGGAGAACTTGGATTTTTGCCCAGTGATAAACCAGACTTCTGTCCAAAGATGCTGTATGGTTATTTATTCAACTGCCAGTTGCTGCCTGCCTAGATTCTGAGGAGCAGAACATCAGAATACAAACGCGATGAGAATCTGAGCATACCCAAAAACTCTCTTTCCTAAAAGGAAGAATTACAGATGTTGTATGTCACTGTAACAATCAGAATTGAACAACTTCCCATGCATTAGTGTAGCACTGCCCCAGCTAACTAGTGCTTTTGGGAAGGTCAACTATGAACATATTATAAAGTATTTTAATTCAGAAATGTATCTTGTAAAATTTTGATTGAGAAGCAAAACTATAGCGGGTTTTTTCTTTTGTTCCAACTCTTCACGTCAAGCAGGAAAGCTTTTCAATTTACCACCATTTGATCTGTATATTGTGAGTGATCTCACAAGCTATATTTAAAACACAAGTTCTGAACATTCTGAAATCTGAGAGTCATTCTGTAATTTCAGATCTGTAATAACTTATCTCCTTATCCCCTTGTAGTAGGTTGCCAGAAATGTTCCTGACTGACAGCATCATTCATTCTGACATATCATCTTTCTGGACACGTCAGGTAAATAAGAATATCTGGATTTAGATTCGTGTCTAATACTCCTCTTAAGTTTCAATTTCTTGGGCAGTAATTGCAGAAATATACTGACTCTCACTTTTTATTAAAAGGTTCCCAATGCATGGAATTATATGCAATGTTTTATGGAAAACAAACATACAAAAAAAAGTGAAAACTGTTCTCATAAACACCATTCTTATAGGACCAAGTATTTCAGCATTTTTTCCTTCAACCTGGAAGTCAGATCAGATTACATTATTAGTATAAAGAAGGGAATTAAATGCTATACTGTATTGCTGGTAACCCTGGAATCATCTGCAGAGATGGAGATAGGAAACAGTTCCCTGCCTGCTGATCCAAAAGACAACTAAACTCTAAAGAAAAGTTATTTTTGACATAGTAGTCTTTTGTAAGTGCTCCTTGTAGCTACATCTTTTTAATTAATGTAAAAGAGAAGCAAGGAACACCATTTTCAGAATAGCCGACTTGAATTTATTTTCAAGATCTGCAAGAAACTTGGTTACAGAAGTGTTTCGTAAGACACTCGAGTCCAGAATCCAGAAAAAAAAAAGAAGTATCTCTTTGAATTCACGTGTAATTTCTAATTACATGCTGATCGCAGTGTAAGCCCGTGTTTCTTGGTCAGCATTCCTGTTGGAACATCATCAAGTCCCGTGTGTCGCAGTGCTCTCATTCATGGACACAGCCTTAGATAGGCGGTCATTTATAACCCATCCAAGACATAAGTTAATTTTAAGACACCACGGGCATTTTATAGGCCAATTACAAACGATCTTTCCGAGACCTGTATTTAAAAGCTGTTCTCTCCTGTTATCATTCGATGATTTATGCCACCCTTCGCACGTGCGTATGCACTACACTTTCCAAAGTCCTCCTACAGGCGGATGAATCAGAGCTGAGGCAGCGAGTGTCAAAGACCGGCGCATTTCCCCGGGCGGCCCCCGAGGACTCCGGCGACTGCTC